CTCAAGAAATAGTCAGGCACAGGAAGGGTTTTGTGGCTCCCGGTGTTTTCTTTTCTGTGGGAAAAGGGTCCAAATGGCTCTTTGAGTGTTTAAAGTTGCAGAGCCCTGCTTTAAAGGAATAGGAATCACTTTTGGGGTAGAGAGAAGTCTGTGGCTTTCCAAATGACCTTACTTTACAGCTCCCATCAGTATTGGTCACAGTCAAGGATCAGGAAAAATGGGAGATATAGTTCACCAGATCAGAAGGCCTCTTTCTTACCAGGCACCAGGTAATAATTGACATTGGTGTCGGGTACCAATTGACATTTCTGTCTATAAGTTTATTTTTGTATATGTTATTTATGTTTATGTATTTATATTTTCAGCATTGTTGTCAAAGCACTATGTAGACGTACCATGTGTTTTAAGGAATTACTGTATTATCCAACTTTGTGCCAAAACATCTCAGAATGCTTTTGAAGACTGCCAGTCTTCCAGCCTAGCATCACTACCAAACAGCTAGTACAAGTTTGAATTTGGGATCAATTTTTTTAGAGCCAAAACATTTTGGTCTATGAAGTTATTTATTTTAAATTTGATTTATATGCTGCCCTTCTCCGGAGACTCAGGGCGTCTTACAATGCGTTAAGCAATAACCTTCATACTTTTGTATATTTATACAAAGTCAGCTTATTGCCCCCACAAACTGGGTCCTCAATTTACCTACCTTAGAAAGGATGGAAGGCTGAGTCAACCTTGAGCCTGGTGAGATTCGAACTTACAGTAATTGCAGACAGCTGGTGTTAATCACAATGCTATCAGTCTGCTGAGCCACCAGGCCCTGTTGCCTGGTTTTCAGAGAAGAACCAAAGATGGTCACAAAGCATTCATATAAGTTCAAGGCTCAGACCTGCAATGCAATTTGGGCAACAAATGTAGTTCAGATTTTCTATACTGATGTTATTATTTATATCTTTTTTGAAGGAATGGCAATGGCTCAGCTGCTTGGCTTGGAGTCCTGATGGGGGCGCTCTGTTAGGAGCGGATGATGGACTTAACAGGGAAGATATCACAAATGTACCATTCTTGCCTTGTTTTTTATTTTGTATCTAATGTTCATTTTAAGCCACCCAGAGCCAGACAGGCAGCTTGTAAATTTAATAAATAAATCTTAATGCTAATTTATTTTGATCATTTGTAGTTTTGTTTAATCTGATATTGTGAAACTTCCTTTGTAAAGTTTGTTGCATGTTTACAATAGCAAGGCAGCATCAACTACATAATGCATCACGTCTTCTGCAGTGTAGTGTATTTAAACCACTATCTTTACCTCATGAAAGAGCCAATCTATTGTCAGTCCCCATCACGTTTCTTCCAGCCCTCTTATCTTATGGGGAAAAAATAAGCACTGACAAGGCAGAGCTCTTAATTTATTTTTATGAAACTTCCCAAGTAGGAACATCTGGCCCCTAATGTTTGAGACAGCAGGTGACAATTTTATTTTCGAAAACCGTATTGACCATTGTTTCTGTATTTTATAGTGAGTCTAGTACAATGGTGGATTGCTCCTGGTTCTGTCCAGTTCTTTAGAACCGGTAGTAAAAGTGACGGGAGGCTCCGCCCACCCGCCTGGACATCATAATTGACGATCTGTGTGTGAGCTCCCGTTGCGAACCGGTAATAAAGGTAAGTAGAACCCACCCCTGGTCTAGTAGCTGGAGGATAATTATTACTGACATTTTATGAAATGGTCTTCTGAACTTAAGAGAAGCTATTCAATATTTTTGTACAAGAAAGTGTAACCAGAGGAGCGTGCATTAGAGCAAGTAATAGCAATAGCAGTTAGACTTATATACCACTTTATAGTGTTTTACAGCCCTCTCTAAATTAGAGGGCCCCAACAATCTGGGTTCTCATTTTACTGACCTCAGAACGATGGAAGCCGTGAGACCACCTTAATCCTGTTGCACAAAATAATGTGCAACTTGAAGCTCTAGCAGTCCACTTACACAGACAGCCCTAACTCAATTTGCTCTTGAAAGGCAGCCATATGATATTTTAAAAACTAACATGTTTCTAAATGTTCTACTTTAATTTTTATTCCGCCTTCCTAATATGGAATTGTATCTGAGAAAGATTGCCCGCCACTGTTTCTTCAAGTCAACTTTGCTACGGCACATTTTAATGTTTTTTAAACCAGCTCTTACTATTTTATAAAAGCCAATGATACTAACCAAGAATATTACGAGTGTTTTTGTCCATACAACTGAACCAAGTTAAGAAACTGTGCTTTGCTCTGTTTTGATATAATGCCAAAATTGTGCCCCAGATCAATTTCCTATATTCAAAGCAGGAATACTCCTAAATCTATAATTAGCTCTTAGGTCCAATTTTTAAAATGATTTAGAATATCTTGTGCCATTTTATTTTACTGCAGGAAGTCAATGCACACTGATGGAATTGTGCAACCTGAAGAAAATAGCGTATTTTTCGGAGTATAAGATGCACCTTTTCCCCCCCTAAAAGGGGGTGAAAATTTAGGTGTGTCTTATACACCAAATGAGGCCCTGCCCACCCACTGGCCCCCACCCTTTGGCCTCTGCCTTGCAGCAGTTACCTCCTTGCAAGCAAACAGCAAGAAAAAACAGCTCTTTTCAGCTTCAGCACAGCCTAATTACCACAAGTTGATTAGATCAGCCTCCTGACTTTAAGCTAATTTGCTCTCAGCTGTTTTGCACAGGGCTCTGCTGCTTGCTGTAAAGAGGTAAATTGCTGGAGCACATTTTTTTTTCCTTGTGCTAATCAAGCTATGCTGAAAATGAAAATGAAAGTAAAGCAGGCTGTTTGCTATAACCAGGCAAAATTGCTCAGAGGTAGAGACAGAGGGAGATTTCTTTTTCTTCACCAAAAAAGGTAGGTGCGTCTTATACTCCGAAAAATACGGTAGTTATGCATATCTATCCAAACAAGTGTTCTCAAATTTATGGGTTAAATTGCCGTTCTATATCGAGATAACACATTGTAACTTAAGAAGCATTATTTTGTTAGATTGCTGCTGAAATTAACATTATCCGTTTAAGTAACTAGATAATGCCCAAAAGGTGATATGCCAAAATAAGCTAAGAAATTAATTAGCGCCGTTTAGTAACTTCAGGAATGCATTAAGGAAGGAAATTTAGACACTAACTCGTGATTAGTCTAGGGACGCTGTGGCTCAGTGGCTATGACGCTGAGCTTGTCAATCAGAAGATTGGCAGTTCGAATCCTAGCGCCCCGTAATGGAGTGAGCTCCCGTTATTTGTCCCAGTTTCTGCCAACCTAGCTGTTCGAAAACACATAAAAAACGCAAGTAGAAAAATAGGAACCACTTTGGTGGGAAAGTAACAGTGCTCCGTGTGCCTTTGGCATTTAGTTATGCCAGCCACATGACCACGGAGACGTCTTTGGACAGCGCTGGCTCCTCGGTTTAGAAATGGAAATGAGCACCACCCATAGAGCCGGAAACGACTAGAACGCATGTGCAGGGGAACCTTTACCTTTATCTTAACTCATGATTTGTTGAAAATCCAGATTTACAGAAGTGTGACCTAAAAACAGCTCCCTTGCTGTTTTATTCTATTTTATCAACTTGAATAGACTCTTAGTCATTGAGAACATATCACCTCTCATTCTACAGCCTGCTTTTTCTATATTTAGACAAAACTATTATCACAGTGTTTTGGAAGTTTTGGAAACTGCTAGTGTAATACAGCCAAGCAATAAAACAAAAGACATACATGTATGCTTGGGATAAACATTTTTTTCATATCCACAAATTCTCAATTATAAGAGTCAGGGACTATTACACAATCTGATGGATTGTCCAAGACCACAGGATGTCTGAACTGGACCCCAGTAGCTTAAAAAAAATAACCACCAAATCACAACCCTCCCTTTGAGAGCCCTGTCAAGCAACAGAAAGTACGATCAGATTAAGCTGAAATAGTAACGCTTAAGCAGCAGATAGTTAGTAAAGCTGGATGGGGAGCCACAGAAGGAAACAAATGCGGCAGCAACATTGAGCCCATCTAATTTAGATGTAATGCGTGAAATGCCGATTAAGGAACCAGTTTATATTCACCCAGTTTTAAAATACAACCCAGCTCAATAATAATTGAGTCACAATATAGAATATAGAATATTTGTAACCATACAAATTGCTTACACAATTCAAGAGACAGACTTTGGCTGCTGAAGCATTTATTACTTGAGAGCATACATGGAGAATTCCAAGGCGAAGAGCTGCCGAAGACAAGCTACATACCCGCGTACACACAGCATGAATCGAATTGAGTGCATAATACTCGAGGTTACTTCCAATGGAGTGATTAAGTAGTACAAAGTCTTAGAATTTTAAATACTATAAATGTTCACAGCACACGAGGAACTCTGGAAAAGGGTTAGTCATAAACATCATTCAAACAGAGTAGGGAAGTTGATCAGAGTGCTCTTTTAGTATTTAAAATAATGTGGCTTATGTCTTTTAAGAAATAGCATGAATGCAAGGCACCGATATTCTGATTACCCTAGTGTATTTTTTCCAAAATTATTTTCTAATTAAGTGGTTTGCTTTATTTTCTAATATACATTGGAAAGTTTTGTTTTAAATATATTTCAATATATGAAGATGGGGCTTCATAGCTAAACAGCTGAACAAGGTGTGGTCTCCAATGTGATCAGCTGAGGTTTAGAAGTCATAAGGCACCCACATTTTTCAGTCCACTTAAGTGAAGGACATACAATTCAACAAAATGTGCAACACTATTTCATTATGACAGTTCCCTTTGACTAATGGAAATAGGACAAAATTCTGCTAGTGGCTAAGCCACCGTGTTAGTTAGGGCACAAAGTGTACATTTGCCCGCCGCAATTTATTCTTCCTTTTCTTCAGGCCGTTTGTTCTCCTGGTTGGTTTTTTTATCCCCTTCACCTTTGTGCTCACCTTTAAGAGAGCCAGCCAACTGTGGGTAAAAGGGACCTACCAGCCAGTTGAGGGGTGTGTTGTTAACAAGATAATCCATCACGTCATCCAACGATTCTTTCATTTTCTTCAACTGCCCTTTACTGGAGGTAAGAAGGTTATCAGACACTTCTCTGAAAGAAGAGGCTGACCGGAAGCTTTTGTACACGTCTCCTGCAATTTCCCCAACGTGGTGAACCTGGTCCTGAATGTTCTGTGGCAAACCCTGTATGCTGGACACCAGCGTGAGGCAGGTTGTCTGAAGCTGCTGACTGAGGTTCTGTGCAATCACTAGAGTGCGTGATTCAATGTGCTGAAAAAGAAAACAGCTCTTAGTAGACGAATAGTTCTTTTGCAAATAGTTTTTTAAATTTCACCACTTAAAACAGTATCTTTGCAATGCTTCATTAGCGAAGGACGTAGGAAAGCCTATTAAGTAAGTTATAAGGGGAGCAAGAACTTCCCGTATGGACATAACCAACTTTGGAAGCAAAATTGGATTTAGCTGGGGCATTGTAATATGATTTGATCAAATCCCACCTTTATTTATGAGCCCCGGTGGCACAGTGGTTAAAGTGCAGTATTGCAGGCAAACTCTGCCCACAGCCTGGAGTTCAATCCTGACAGGGCTCAAAATTAATTCAGCCTTCCATCGTTCCGAGGTTGGTAACATGAGGACTCAGATTGTTGGGGACAATATGCAAATAACACTTCTACATTGTAAACCACCTAGAAAGTGCCTTTAAAGCACTGGGGTGTTATAGAAGCCTAAATGCTATTGCTATTTCAACCCACGCAATGTGGAATGGATCCATCTGCCCTCCTGTAGGATGCAGCAGAGATCAAAATAGTTTGCCAATTCTTCTTTCCACCTGCAGCGTAATAAAATTTTCATGCTGTATAAGAAACTCTTCAATCCTCTAGAACAGGAGGAGAATTTGTAACGATGGTAGAATTGATTTTTTAAAAGTCTGCCTTGCACTCTTCAGTTCATATTCCATTAATATCTAGCGTTTTGAACTCTTCAGTTATATTCCACTGATCCTTATACTGGTTTGTATCCTATAAAGCTTTTTAAGGAGAAGGAAATACTGCCTTTACAGCTCATTATTTTCTATAAAAGCTTTTTGGAAGGAAGCAATTAATGAATAGTAGAAACAAGAATTAAATTTAAGCGAGTGGTTTAATCCTAAATACAATATCATAGCTGTAGTTTTAAGGAAATTTTTCAGGACATTTTATTGTTAAGTGCTTCAGGTGTACTCAGCATTTGAAACCAGAAGCCAAACAAAAGGTAATTACTGGCAGAAAATAATCAGTGCAATGGAGACACTGCTATTCTCTAAGTGTGAAGCAGTGAAATGAAGCTGTTTATTTCCTCTTGTGCTCTAGTCTACTTATATTAATTTCTTCATCAGCTTCTCTATGAGATTCAATTTTTTTCAAAAGTTTTGCTTCCTGAAAGACTTTAGGCGATTTGTGATAGACCTCTTCAAACTGAAAGCAAATATAATTTCAGAATGACTATCACTTAGGGATCTTGAGAAATACGAAATTAACTTTTAATAATTCTAAGTATTTAACTGCATAATGTTTCCAACACTGCATGACTTTAACTGGGCCCAAAGCATTTTGCCGCTGATTTTCATTTATACATAGCATCAAATGCATTTCGTTGTAGTACCTAACTGTAGTCAGACAGCAATGATGGATTTCAATTGACCTAATACTATTTTTCCATTGTGACAATGTCCTGGTGAAACTTTCCACCATATGGGTCACTGACAGCACTTGTCATTTTTGAGAAAGAATTCCAAATGTGAATGCAGACAATGTATCTTAAGTGAAATGTTGCACTTCATGGTCTTGCATGCTGTAAGAAGTTTGCCAACCAGCTGAATGTAGTTTAGTGCTCTGTAGTTGCCAAGAAAATTCTCAACACATCCTTGAATGCTTTCCAGGCAATTTTGTCTGGCTCCACTAATAGATCTTTGAACTGCTTGTCATTGGTGACATTATCTGATCTGCGGACCAACAAAAATGCTTTCCTTAATCTTTGCATCAGTTAATCTTGGAAACATCTATCTCAAATAACGAAAACCTTCACCTTACTTGTTCATTGCTTTCACAACATTTTTCATCAATCATGAGTTGTATGTGAAGCGGAGGCAAAAATATCTTTGACAGGTCGACAAATGGTTCATGTGTCAGATTTTTCTGTCCTGGAATCAAATTCTTTTGGAATATATCTTTTTGATTAAAACCACTCTTTTGCACAGCTGTCCCACTCGTGTAAGTAACCATGATTTGATTTGAGCAAAACTTGGTATATCTGAGCTACATTCCAAGCAGCACAACCATTACACTTTTAGATCTCCACAGACCTGGTGTACTGGATGTGCTTCAATTGCATGTTTTTATATGTTTTTTTCATGTGTGCAATAACACCAACAGGTATTGAAGGATATAAATTGCCATTGTATTAAAAATGGAAGATTTCTTTAGAACAGGGATAGGTTAATTTACAGGTTATTTTTGTGATTAGCAGCCAAAAATCTATAACATATGCCTCGAAGTATTCAGGAAGCAAAATCTTTGTCATCCAGCGATAGCAAAGTCATATATTTGATGTCAGCTCTTGACTAAAATGTTTCTGGTTTAATTGTTAGTGCTGCTGCATGTTTTACACAATGAAAAAGTTGTTAACACAATATAAATCATGAAGATACCACTTTTAAGTGGAATCAGTTCTTTCTTGACGTATCCTCAGCATGTATTCCTTTCCACTTACCTCAGCACTGTGTGAAGCAGCCTCGCCATTTGAGCTAATGTTTTTCTTCCATTCTGTCCAGGAATTATATAACTTCTGTTGGGCATCTTGAAGTTTCACGTTAGCATTAGTCATGTTCTTTCTGGCATATTCCAGCTAGAATGCACAACATACCCAATTTTACAAAAGCGTACATACCACTGTATTTTTATTGCTTTTAAAGTAATGACCAAAAAAACCTGACACCCCCTCCCCCCGAACAAATTACACAAACTTCCTCTTGGTGTATCATTACTACTGGCCCTCAGGAAAAAAAATGATGTTAAGAATCTGATCCTATATCTGTGCTTTTAAAAAAGGGAACTTTGGTCTCTTTTGGACATCTGGCTCAGAAGAAGCAATAGTGACTCTTTTGGTAGCTGCAAGAGTCATGACTCATAGCTGGTAATTCATGACTGCTATGTTGGCTGTGCCCTTTTGAGAGGTTCACAAGCAGGGGTGAAATCTACTTACCTTCCCAACCGGTTCGGAAGTGCACGTGCACGCACAGACCCTCTGCGCATGCGCAAACCCTTCTGCACATGCGCAGAGGGTAAAAAAGGAGGAAGTAACGACGACCGGGTGGGTGGGTGGAGCCTTGCACCGCCATTGCTGCTGGTTCTCTGAACCACCAGCCGCCATCACTACCGGTTCGGCCAAACCAGTCTGAACTGGGAGCATTTCACCCTTGGTTCACAGCCAGGTGAAATGCATGGTTGAAGACTAAGCCTCCCCATTTTCTTCCCATTGTTGAAAACCTCTGAAAGATCCCCCGACACTGATGCCCATTAATTTGGTTGCTATTGAATTAACAAAACTTGCAGTATAGTGGCTTTGGACATATATGTCCAACAGAGCTCTCTCCAAAGGAAGTCAGAGCTGGAAATGGGAAAAAATTACCATCTTTTCCCACAGAGATTAAATGGGAGAGGCCACAGGTATCCAGTGCAAGTCGAAATTACGCAAAAATTATGAATTGTGCCATCGAGATGATGCAAGCTCCACATTTTGTATTTTCAATTCAACATCAGAGAGAGGAAGAGTGGAGCTCAAGCCAGAACACAAATTTCATCGGTTACTCCTCTTTGCTTCTGGAAGGCTTACAAGATGGTGGTATCCTTTTCCACTGTTGTAGAAGGGGAAAAAAAGGTTCTATAGAGGTTTTTAAACACTTATTGCCAGATGATACTTTGTGAAGAACTATCTGGCTGCAGAATTACCCAATTTCCACTCTACATGAAGAGGTCATGTGGCCTGTTCGGCTTAGCACAATTTGCACTGTAACTTGTAAGATTTGATTTATGCCTTTGTGTTGTGTGAAACTAGGACGCTCTAGTTATGTTCAACAACCTATGGTTAAAGTAAGCTACGCTTAGTGTGATGTGCGAATGTGTCCTATGTGCAAGGTAGGCATTTTATTTAAGTTCTAGGCTCTTGTTTCATGTACCTTATATTTGATCCTGGGAACAAAAGCAATTCAGCAGTGAAGACTGAACCTCCCTGTTCAAAAAAACAAAACAAAACAAAACAAAAAAAACCATCCATGGAGAATTGAAGGAGTGACTAATTTGTTGCATAGTTTTGAAGAAGTGATCAAACTTGTTCCATAATCTTGATATCATTATTAACTAGCCTTCATTTGGGGTACTTTGTCTACAAGCTTTTGGAGGAAAGAACATAACTGATGGTTGAAGATGTCTCAAGGTTGTTGTTGTTTTTTAAAAGTTTATTTCTGTTATATTAAAAAAATGTGACAGGTAATTTTATTTTATTCTCTAGTCAGGTGATAAATACCTTAATTGTTAAGATTTGATGGGAGTTCAACCTTGCAAGTATCATTAACTCTCAAAGTCCACAAAAAAAAAAAAAAAAAAAGGAACAGCAAAGAATATACAGATGTTCAGGAAACCACAATATTACTGATACAACCTACTTAAGAAATATGTCATACTTACCAGGTTAACAGTATAATTGAGCTGAGAAATTGTCTCTTGGCTTCTGAGCTTAGCATCCCTAAATGCATTTAGAGCCTGTTCATAGGCACGTGCTCGGAACTTTAAAGACAAAGAGCCTAGTCTAACATAGTAACTTAGGTTCTGGTCTCCGGTTTCAAATCCTTCAATGTTGGTAGCTTCTTTCTCTGCAGAGTCAAAATATAAACCTATTAGTTTATACAAACCTATTGTCATCAGGCCCATACTATGTACATACCACCAAAGTCCAAACTACTCCTTAATGATAAATTGGCTGGTTCAAATCAGGAAAAATTACTATCGTCACACAACAAGGAGGAAGGGGTTCCCTGTTAAGGGTCAGAGGTTGCAAAAACATAAATTCTTTGAAAAAAACCATGACAGGTGAGGGACTACAAACTGGGCTCTATTGTTAGAAAGCACAGAGTCAGAACTAATCTCTAAACCAGCATTTGTATACCACCATGTTTCTCATCTGTGGCAATTTTAAGATATGCAGATTTCAGTTCCCAGAATTATTCCCTTTATTAATTCTTACTTCCCCCTTTTATTGGCTGTACACTTTAGTATTATTATTATATTTTATTGTTTTGCAAGTACAAGTACTTCAGTACTGGAGACAAATTGTGTGCCTAACCACACTTGGCCAAATAAATAAAGTATAAAGCATTGCTGGTTGGAGAATTCTGGGACTTGAAGTCCACATATCTTAAAGCTGCTAAGGTTGAGAATTATTGGCATAGAGCAAAAATTGTTACCTTCCTCACTGCAACAAAAACTACTAATCAAATCAAAACAGTAAACTTTCCAATCCCACATGTGTATTACCGTTTTCCCAAAAATACGACCTACCCTGAAAAGAAGTCCTAGCTTGATTTTTACACGTGCGCCCAAAATAAGCCCTACCACCCAAAATAAGCCCTAATTAAGACCCCGCCCACTCCAGGGTGCACAGGTAAAAATTAAGCTAGGGTGAGGATGGGGTGGTGATGGAGCTGCCCTAATACTTACCTTTGGACAGCTGCAGCCAGGCCTTGCACACTCTGACACCTGCCTTGCTGGCCTATTTCTTCTGCAGCTGGCAAGGCTTTCCTGAAGGCCTCTGCAGCCAGTAACAGAGCTCCGGTTCTGTTCTGTAAGTTATTGGCTGCAGAGGCTTTCAGGAAAGCTTTGTCGGCCTTGCTGGCTGCAGAAGTTCCTGAAGGCCTCTGACAGTGAAAAGGAGGCCAGGGGCCATGAGTGCAAGTAAGTTGAGTCAGTGGATGACACCCCCTCCCAAAAAATAACACCTGGTGCCTTTTTTGGTGGCAAAAAAAAAGGGGGGGGTCTTATTTTTGGGGAAACACGGTAGTAGCTTTGGTCTCCGAGTCTTCCAGCAGATCCTTACCCAGCTCTTCTGTGGTATGTGGAAGGTACTGATCAACCAGAGTTTCAGACTTGCTGAGTGCGGTATCCACCCCAATGGTCACTAGGCACACCATCCGACTCTGCAGAACAGTGTTAATGCTGCCATGGACTGCGTATTTAGTGAGCTCCACGCTGTCCAGAACAACCCCTTTTGTCTTGTCAACAACTTCACTCAGGGTGTGTGTGACTGTATCCTTGGCACCAGTCACAGTGGTTGTCACGGCGTCCTTTGCACCAACAACTGCATCCACAGCATTGGCAACCACCTAGAACAAGTTAAAAGAATATACAAATGTAGCTCAAAGAATATACAAATGTAGTCTATTTGCTTTAATGATCAGTGATGTCAAGAGGTATCAGGTACGTCAAAAACAAGAGGTCGTAGGTTTGTTGTAAAGGAGAAAAAGATGTAGATTGAGAAAGCAGAATGTATAAACTTGTATTTCATGTCTGCCTTCTCTTAAAAGAAAACAAAGCCTCTGTTGAAAGAACTTAAGATAATTTAAATACATTCAGGTCGCCAGGCCTAAATGAATTGCATTCTAGATGCTAGTGGAGGTGATTTGGAGCATTTCCAAAAAGAGACACAGGCAGTCCTCAATTTATGACCACAAATGACCCCAAAATTTATGTTGCTGAGAGATTTTTGCTCCATTTTACGACTTTTCTTGCCACATTTGTGAAGTGAATCATTGCAGTTGTTAAATTAGTAACATAGTTAAGTGAATCTGGTTTCCCCATCGACTTTTGCCTGTCAGGTCACAAAAGATGATCACATGACTCTGTGACCCTGCACCCGTCATAAATGTGAGTCAGTTGTCAAGCATCCGAATGTAAAACATGTGACCATGGGGATGCTGCAATGGTCGTAAGTGTGAAAAATGGTCATAAGTCACTTTTTTCAGTGCTGTTGTAATGGTCACTAAGTGAACTGTTCTAAGTCAAGGACTATCTGTATAAAAATATTTTGCATCTTCCTTGCTCACGGATTATACAGTATAGAACATTTCAGAGATACGAACAGGTTTTATGGAGAGATGGAACCTCCTATCCTAGAAAGATTATATGATATTTTATATGTGAGAATTTTGAATTAATCTGTGCATGAAACAATAGATGTCAAATCCATGAACGAACCTATTTTTTTATCGACTAACATCATTGTCAGCCCTTCAGGTTTATTGCACATCTTCCTGAAGTTGATTAGATCTAATCCAATTTAACCGCACCTCTAAATGATAAGTCCTAATCCAGATCATTTGAACACAGCCCAATTACAAGATGATGGGATTAAAGGCAAATAAAAATATGCTGGAGCAACCTACCTTACCAGTTGGTTGATAGAGTATAGGCAATTTTTCTTCAACTTTGTCCAATCCCATGCAAGCATAGCTATTGGCCACTGCAACTGCAACAATTAATGACAAAGTTCAGGTATTTCTGACATGCCTTCCAACAATTCTAAATTTCAACAATTTTAATTATTGATCCGGCACTATAAGTAGAATAATTTGATATTGACAATATTTGAAAAAGTACCAAAAGGGCAAGTAAAGTTATTACAGGGTTGTGGAGTGTCATTTATTTATTTGTTAAATTTATTTGCCGCCTATCTCTCTATGGGGCTACTGTAGGAGGCTGTACTACATAGTAAAATAATATTCATCTGTAGATGTTTGGCATGTGCATTTGTGTACATATACAATACAGACACATCACTGCACAAGATGTGTGAAGATATGAATGGACACGTATCACAAAAGCGCTACATGAGACTCACAGCATATGGAAAAATACCAGAATGGAGATTTCTAAAAAAAAAAAAAAAGTTCAGTAAGGGATGGTTTTCAAAATAAGAGATGGTTCCTAGGTAAACTGGATGAGGTAAAGGCTTTCAAGTGGAAAAATACCAGAGGTTGTGATAAAAGTGTCAACTACGTGCACCACAGGCTGCATACGAGTGGGGGAGGGGGTGTTGGGGTGTGGCATGAGCTCAGGCAGGCTGGAGAAACAGGGCATGTGGTACTCTCTGTGAGTTAGCAAAGGGAGGCCGGAGAAGGGGGGGAAGGGCACGGGGTGAGTACATATGTGCAAGTGTGGGTAGGCCAAGAGGGCACGGAATATGCGCATGTGTGAGAATGTAGGGAGGCCAAGGAAAGCGGAGGCGGGGTGTGTGCATGTGAATACACAGTCAGAAAAGAGGGTAGAAGATATTTGCATGTGTGTGAGCATGGGGAGATCAGGGAAAAAGTATACCTTTTGTGTCCATGCAGGCAAGTGCAGGGAAAAAGGGCATGGGGTGAATGCATGTGTGTGAGCACAGGGACACCAGGGAAAGGGGGTACAGGGTGCATGAGTGTGTGTGCATAGGGAGGCCAAAAAAAAAAAAAAAAAAAAAAAAGAGGTAACGACTGTGGGGAGGCAGGAGAAAAAGCAAACCGTGCGGGGTATATGTGAAGATAGAGAGACAAAAGAAAGAAGATACAAGGTGTGTAGTCGGAATTTCAAGGACAAATCCTAAATCCCTTTGTTCAGCACTGGTGTAATTTAAATTGTTGCTGAATGAATTCAAGGGCTACCTGTAATGAGGTAAATTCCTCTGCAACTTAAAGTCTAAACTTTGAGTAGGTATGCATATGCATATCTTTGTAGGAGTAAATTAAGTTTTTAGGTCAGAAATTGGGCAATAAATGCTATAAATCTGCATTTATTTCTATGTGTCCCGAGTATCTGGATATACTATAAAGTTGGAGTTCTTATGAAACTTTCCTTGAAAGGAATAGCTGTTCTTTGAGGAAAGCAATTGGTGGTCTTTAAACTCGTTACTAAACAGCGTAAGGAAAGCCATGACAGAAGTATATAAAATTATACATAACATAGATTAACATTGTGTGTGAGAGGAATGTTTTTCCTCCCTTTTCATATAATGATGAAAATCAAAGTCATTTACTGGAACTAAATGCAGGTAGGTTCAGGACCAATGTAAGGAAACCTTTTTCACACACACACGGTAAATAATAAATTGGGCCCTTCATGTCAGCCTTGCCCTTTGGCAGTTGCCTATACAAGCCCAAACAGTTACCTTGGCAGAACCTGTGGAAGTAATTGGCTATTGCTTTCTTCCTAAAGCTAAGAATGAATGACTGTCCAAAGTCATCCAGCTGGCTTTGTGCCCAACATGGGACTGGAACCTAATATCCTGGTCTCTAGCCTTGTGTGCCTTAACTGCTGCATCAAACTGGTTATGCCAGTGTATCGTTAAACAACTGAATTTGCTACCCACATGTGGAACAGCAACAGCTAGTCTTCATCGAACAATTGTTCCATGGTTTAAAAAAAAAGACTGGACAGATTCATGGAAGACCAGTCTAGCAATGGTCATTAGTAGATTATTTATTAGTTCCTTCTTTACAAGCCACAATGAAAGGGTATTAAAACAGCCTTAGTTTGTGACCTTTCCCCAAAACATCCAATGACGCATAATATTGGAAATGGCCCTTTGGTCTGATCCAGCAGGCTGCTCCAAATTAAGGAAGTATCAAAAACTAGTTCAGCTTTATTTTTGCCATCATAAAACAGGAAGCCTCCTGAATTTGTCTTTTAAGGGCAAAGTTGAACATAACGTTCCCAATAGCAAACTGAAAGAGCCCTCTAAAAAATAACCAAGTATTTCCCGGCCTGCTTGTCACTTTGCAAAATTAGATTTTCCCTCTGAGTCGTCACCCACACACAACAGAGTACTGTATAAAATATAAGCCGGAGTTTCTGACAGTGAGGCATTTAGAAAGTAGGTGAAAGGTAAATGCAGTCTTTGGGTGGAAGTGGGTGAAGAGTGATGACACAGCAAGCTTGAGCAACAACTATTTATTTATGCATCATCTTATGAATCAAAGTTCTTTCATGTTCCTGACACATAAGCCATTAGAATGTTAATCTCGGAGGCTAAACCTATTTTAAATTATAAAAACCCGAAGTTCAGCCATGGCATTAGCAAGGTTTGCTACAGACATTAGTAAACATTCTCCAAAGAGTTATTATTTGAAGTAGGTCCAGCAAATGACATGTTGAGAAAATGTTTTGTTTGAGCGCACATATTTTGTGTGCCGTCAGGGCCAGTGACATATTCAAATTCGAAGAAAGGGATGTAATATGCAGCAAGCAGCATATGACACATTAGGAGGAACTGACCTCCTGCCATCTCATCTCATTTAATCTCTCATTCCATCCACCTTTCACACCTATTTCCAAGTTTCCAACTCTAATCTAATCTAATCTAATCTAATCTAATCTAATCTAATCCAACCCAACCCAATCCAATCCAATCCAATCCACTATTGTGCCCACCTTTCACATCTATTTCCAAGCTTTCAACACTCCAGTGTCAAGTTTTGTTCAAATTCTTTTAAGGAACTATAACAACAGAGATGTAAGGGTATCATACAAGCAAAAGGTGTTAGAAGTGCTTTTCAGGCTAAAAAACAGAAAGAAATGAAGCGGACACACTCTTGAAGTTCCAAAAAGGTGTGGAGAAGTAGTATTATGGCTTACTTTGCGGCTCTAACTTTTGGATGATGGGTAGGGCACTGGTCAGGGCCACTGCTGTAATAGTCTTCACTCCTTTCTCCGCCATCTCACAGACAGATTTCAGATAGGGGTAATTATCTTTTGTGTTGACATAAGCAGAAGAGACCATATCGTAGGTGGAACTCACCAGGGGCAAACTAGCAACCCTGGAAACTACGTTCTGCAAAAATACGGAATACAAGATGATTTACTCACAATTTTTCCTCAAAAGTGGCCTAATAGTCTTTATTTAATTGAGACATACCTGCTGGGCATCAGCCAACACCGCTGCCATCTTTTTGCCTTGAATGTTTTAGAGTCTAGTAAAGGATTAGAAGTAGTAAAAAATATTTTTAAAATAAATTTTAATCTTTGTCAACAGCAAAGTATTTGATACCTTTTATTAATTTCTAAACATGTGTTTTGTGCAGGGGGATGTTATAAGTCTGAATATTGGAAATCACATCTTTTCTAGATATTGCAGGACAATGTGCAAAAGTGCCAAAATGTACTCTTTCTAAGCAACACTCAGTAAAGCATACAATAGGCATAAAACATCTAGAAGATTTTGACAAAATTATTTCAGTGTTTTCAACACTTTCAAGACAGTTTGACTTTTGACTTCAAAACTTGCTCAATTTAAAAAGCTAAAATTCAGCAGAGGAAACTTAAATTTGAATCATGATTAATAAAGCTGGGAGCTATGTTCTGCATACAAAACCATAAAACAGGAGGCTTTAATAATTTGATTCCAAAATTAAAGCAGACAAGTGTTTTTATATTCCAGAATGTATTGATAACTTTCATATCATATGTTTGACTAGTATATTGTAAATACTTTAGCTCCACTTCTGGGCGTGGCAGTATTCTTCTGAAACCATGTTTATTATCCACATTACATAACAGCATTATTCTTACTAAAATGTTCTGAAATGTCGATCTAGTTTATGAAAAGATGATATTGAGTATAGTCATAAAAATCTGACAACTTCTGCTTTAATTTATTTGGCTACTATGCATACAACATTTCACTCAACAGCAGGCTTTCTTTGCATATACAGTGAGGTTTACCAGTACTTTTTATTCTAACCAGCATTTTAAAAAGAATTTATCTGAAGGCCATACAATTAGCAAAAAGATTGGAGTTCAAAATTATGCAATAATATTGGTACAACATTTACATCCTTAATCAAACAAAAGATAAACAAGCTTTATTGGACAGCCCTTTATTAGGGCCAACCAAAATGGCCCACAGGATTGTGCAGACTTCACTTTTACCAGAGTATTTTTTTAATGGGGCAAAGTTATGTAAAAAGCAGTATTCTTTATACTATGAGGTGTACGCATAGAGAATACTTTGCTTTGTCTTTTAAGAAACTTAAAACACATTCCATTCAATATTCCACAAAATTCAGTCATTACTATTTAATGGAATGTAATTAAGTGGCTAAAAAGACCAAGGTGGTCTAGTGGTTAAAGCTCAAAGCTAGCAATCTGGAGACTGAGTTCTAGTCCTGTTTCAGGCACAAAGCCAGCTGATGGCTGGGCCAGTCACTCTGTCTCAGCCCTAAGGGAGGAAGCAATGGCAACCGAGGTCTGAAAATGTTGCCAAGAAAATTGCAGTGACTCAGGCAGTCCCGAGAGTCAAAAATCAAGCCATTTTTGAACAAACACCCACATATACTTAACCGCTATAGAACAAACCCACTATACTACAGTGAACCTTGTGAATCGATGCATGTTGCTTCTCACCCATCTTAAATTTTTAAAGCTTTTTAAAAATTTCAAGATTTTTAAAGCTTCAGGATTAGGGTATTCACTAAATAGGTATTTAAATGGGATATTTAAAGATACCGGAAAAGAAGAAATGTCGGAAATTGAAACATACAGATCTTTCAAGTAAGCGAGAAAACAAGTTCTACTTATAAATTAGGACCGACATACTTTTAAATGCATATATTTAAACTTTCCGTCTCTTTTCCGTAGCAGGATATTTGTTTCGATTCTGAAAAAGGTTTGATTTGGCGGGGGGGTTGGGGGTTTTGCTTTTGCTTTTAATCCACCAATACATCCGTTAAATATTCCTAATACTTGAGCTACCCGCCAACACCCACCGACTGGAATGACATCCCAATCCTAAAAGCTGTAAGAGAAGTTGAACACTTTTTCCCCCCTGCAGCCACCAAATTTATCGATCGAGAAGGAAGGGATGGGGAATTAGTTCACCCTGGCAACATTTTCTGCCCCTTCCAAAGTTTTCTCTCCAGGGCAAACGCAATCCTTTTGCGCCGTATATTTTCTCTCGGAGTTCAATTTTGTTTTGTTTTTTTACACGAAGCCTGCTATCATACAAATGCAGCCTTGGGAAAGACGCATCTGGAAACCCACCCAAGCATTTCTTTAGCCTTTGCAAACACACAACCCTTACCCGAGGTGCTTCAAAGCCGAGTCCAAGAGAAACAAAAGGCACTACAATTCTACAAATTCAGAGTAGAGGTACAGCCACTTTTTTTCCCCTTGCAAGGCATGCAAGAAAACCTAAGGGGAAAATACTTTTCCCAAGTGATGGGACGAGCAAGCGTGTTTCCAGAGCCACAGTTCTTTACACCGAGGTGCAGGGTCATTCATCTGTCTACTTTACCTCCTCCGAGGAGGCTAGAACGGAAAGATCCGTCCTCCCTACTAGGCAACGGCTACTTAAAACAGACACCTTGCCCCAAAAGAGTAAGTAAGTACTCACCCGGGAAAACCAGAGGAGACGTTGCTTTGCAAAACCTTTACAAGAAAGCTCGCTCGCAACCTATGCCCCTTAACTCTCGAAGGACTGTCACAACTCGGGTGCCGCCCCGGGCAATTTATGCAGCGAAGCCACCCACTCCCATCGACAAACCCTACAGCCCACATCTCGCGAGATAGCTACAGATCCGACCGCTAGGAGCAAGCAAACTTCGCCCTCCTCTCGTGATTTCGGGCCAAAGACCTCGCTTTCTCGAGAAGTTCCGTGTTGGAAGAGGAAGGCCGTTCGAAAAGCAGCAAATTGCACCCTAAATTATTATTATATTTTATTATTTTATTTTATATTTTGGTTGCTGTTTTGGTCCCTCGCCGTGGAGCGGTGCGGAAGGCTCGCTGCAGAGGCAGGGCGGGAAAAAAACGATTGCAACGCTTTGTAGCAGCCCTGAGGTCTTAGGAGAAGCGCGTAAAAAAAAAACCGAGCGAAATGTAGCGTTTGCAAACCGGGTAGCAAAAGTCATGCCCCATTGAGCATACTAATAGGAATGTTTGGATGGTTGGGTTGCAGCTAAAACAACAAGGAACGCGCTTTATTTGGAAGTAGACAATGCTGTATTGTTTTCCCAGAACTTAACGATAAAATCTCCCAAGTCTACCTCTGCTGCTTGGGACTTTAAGGACGTGGTTAGTTTGCTTGATTTACGTCGTGTTTTTCATTCCCAGAGCTCAAAGCAAGAGACATACCACACTTTTTAATTTTCTCTTCTCTTTTCTTCTCTTTCGCTTGACAACAATTCCAGAAGGTGTAGTGTAGGCTAAGAGAGTGAGTTGTCTGTTCTAAAAGTTATCCAGTGAGGTGTCATGCCTGATAATGTACTTAGAACCTAGGTCTTCTTAGTAGACATGTAAATATTGTATATATTATACAAATAAGTAACTATGAAATAAGAATGTATATGTATAAAATAGTAGGCCTATGGATAAGTTGAAATTAAGAAAAAATTCCGATAACGGAAAGCTGTAACAGTGTAATTGTGATTTTAAAGGTTAAAAATGTTGAATAAAAATATTAATGAAAAAAAAAAAACCTAGGTCTTCCTACTCCTAGGAAGTGTCTTAACAATTACTCCCATCTTTTTGCTCTATTTTTCTGAGCAAAAAATGCTCTGAAAAATGCCTTTTAAAATGCAAGTGATTGGTTTTAGCCTACACTTTTAGCATCCCCTGGTAGTTTCTCATCCAACCAGGTTTGGCTCTATTGTCTTTTTGAGATCAATCTAAGTTCAACTACGTAACATCTAGGGGCTTATTTGATAAAAGTATATAGTGCCAAATAACCTATTTTGTAGTAAAATGCGTAGGACCATGTGGGCATGACTTCTGGATTTATTAGGGCTCATTAAGCAGGCATAGGATTGCATTTGAGTTTGAGCTGAAATGGTCCCTTCTGGTTTTAGGTTTCTTTGATTCTAGCTTACAAGTAATAAAAATTGGCTTTTTTGTTCTGGTTCAATCTTTAGCAATTATTCTACAAAAACCCGCATTTTCTAGTTTACAGTTATAGAAAACCAACAGAATAGTAAAGGTGGAAGGATGTGCGCGGATCATCTGCTTTAGCACTTGGCAATGTGTAGGTAAAACAGTGAAATCCATCCATGAGAGGTGGCTGCTTTCCATCAAACTAAAAATATACCAAGTTCCTTCAGTCTAGCCTCCCTAGGGCATGTCTTCACATACTGAATCATTTTTATAGATGCCCTTTGAATCCTAATTTTCTGGAAATGTAGTTTCCATACCTGTACACAACACTCTCAAGTATGGTCTCACTAGCACCATATATTATAGAGAAGACTAACGGTTGCATGTGTCTTGAAGTAATGCTGCTTCTGATGCAGCCAAAACTGTAATAACCCTTATGATGACTCATGTTAAAACTTTGTAATGATCATAGCCAAAACTTTCTCAGATGTTTCCAAGCTACGAACTTGTATTCTCAGTAGTCTTCCCATTTATGCAGATGACATTGCAATCTTATTCTATCATCCTACATATCATTGACTAGATATCCCAATTTTGCATCTTTCACAAATTTTAAAAAAAGCAGCCCATCAAACTCATCATCATTCAGATCATTAAAAAAAAAAAGCAGAATACTCGCCCCCAAATTGACACTTGTGAAGGATAACTTGTTAGCATACTACAATATATACCCTTTCACATTAAGACCTTATTGTTTAATGTTGCTTAAATTTATTTCTATCTTCACAGCAATTCTCAGGATAACCTACCTGTATAGGTTAGATTAAACATGCTCTAAAATAAAATATGAAAATTAAAACTCATCAAGAACCATTATCCATAGTTGATTACAATAACTACTATCAAATTTCTCAAAGCAACCTAGGAACTAGTTTTACTAACTTAACTTTAGACTAATTTCAGCTGATCATATAAATTCCACCTTCCCTGCAGCATAAAATGACTTATGTTTGTACTCCAAAATACATGAGTGTGAGTCACTCAATTCACCAGGAACACGCAAATTATCCCAGTAAGTCACATTTCATGCCATTGTTTGAGCTGGTCACACTAAGTCCAAATTCCTTACTACTCCCAGTGACTTATTTCCCAGAATACAGCAGGAGTATGCAAATTAACCCAATTGCTCTAATTAAAATATTAATCAGTACACAAAGAGAAGTACAGTATATACTGTAAAGTGAATGGACAGCAGTGGATCATTTCAATTGATTCTCCTGTAGTTTTCATTAAGCATATTTAATTGAACCAGGTTTGGATTGTGCTATATGTGCAAACTTAAAAACAACACTCATTGATCAGTAGTCTCAAATTCCTAGTAATTTGGCAATAATATATTGTCAATAATAGTTTACTACTGCTTTCTTCCAGGATGTTTTTTCAATTTTTAGTTAATTCACATTAAATAGTGTGCAAATGTGGTCAGGACAAAAAAAAAAGGCACCAGTAATATATGTTGTATTTCCAATTATGTAGTATGCGTAAAACTGTTCTTAAAAGTTGCAGTCATGGTAAAAAAATATGCAGTGTCTATATAACCATTGGTTAGTATTCTGTGCTTCTGCAGGGTGGGGCGTGTCAGGGTTCAGGTTAGTCTTTAGAGTTGCTGATTAGAGCAGTCTTGTTCTCGATTTAGTTTCTGGTCAGTGTTTTTAGCTTAACCACAGAATTTCCAAAAAGCTCTAGTTGTTTGAGCCAGCAATTAATTTCTTTTCCTTTCTCTTCTGAGGTATTCCTGCTTTATATTACCAGGTATGATTTTTGGCACAAAGCAGTGACAACCTGCTTCCTACATTGATCTGTCAAGAATAAACCCTCCTATTACAACATTTGTGGTCTCTGTTGAGGCCAAAAAGGTAATCTCCTAACAAATGCGTACTCCTCCCCTGATCTTTCTGAATTTTAACAGGATGGAATATCAGAAGTCGTCTTTAGAAGGCCGCAGAAGTGCTTTAAAAAAATACTAAGGTGTGATTGGCAAAGGAGACTTCTCTATGGTACTAAAAGTCTCCTGTGTGAGCAGGGAGTTGGACTAGATGACAGCAACTCTGTTACTGTTTACTGTTAAATAACTTACTTCACAAGAAGTAATCCAGAGAACATTGACTTAGGAGAAAATATACAACCCAAACCCTTTTGTATATATATTTACTATACTTCTTCAACAAGTCCTAATGAAATATCCACAAATACGGTCATGGAGGTCTTGGAATTGATTTGTACATGCAACTTAATTGTTTATTCATCTTGTAGTTCTTCATAATTGATTCCTTTTACACTTAAAATTTATTTTAACAGGATATTAACTGTAACGTACTTAGGGTAGAATTGAATATAGACAGACAGCTGAGATGTTTGGGACCAGATAGCGAATAATTTAAAAACCTTTTTCAAACATTGCAATTAAAAAATAAATAATTTGAAAATAGAGAGCTGCAAATGATTAGCCTATGGCATAATCTTTTCTTTACTAGAATGCTTCTGGTTTCCATGTAGACCTTATAGACATTTTTAGAAAGTTGTTTGAAAATGGAGCCATCTATAAAGAACAAAATTAAAAATGTAATGTGAAGTATGTGGAAAGAACTCAGAAGAGCAGAGTAGTGAGTAGATACCAGGAAGCCTTTTTTAAATTGGTGTTTTGTATTTTGCCAAATCTTTAGTAGCGCCACTTTCTGAATAAAAAGATTTTCCACTTGAGAATACCTAAAAATGCTGTCAAACATCCAAATATGTCCAGAAGGCTATCCCTGGCTTAAGGAGTCTTCAAAGCAAGTAATAATAATTATAATTACCTGAATTTTTTCCGCCATTATCATTTATTGCAGCTGTTCTGACATTCCCCTCTGTATGAGACAATGTGGAGATCATGACCCCTAGCCAGTGAGTTATGTGAAGTATCTTTGGAGCTAAAATATATCTCTGCTACACTTAATAGTCATAGAAATGCTTTAAGTTAGGAAATTCAGTTCTGTTTCCTTTTGTTTGTTTTGAATTTTCCCACAAGTGAAGATGTTTCCATATTCCATCAAGAACCAACAGTTCATTTACTGTAGAAGAATTAATTTAGCCTACCTATGCAATATCAAGAGGAAAATTTAAAAACTCTACTTTTAATATAATTTTCCTTTTAAATAGAGATTTAGAGAGGCTCTGTGAATAATATGTGGGAATACGTTCTGAGTGCATAGGATCAGAATGTACAATAATCAAAACAGTAAACTTTTAGTATTATTTTGTTTTATTAATTACATAAAGCTGGTCAGATCCGAATCTCACTATTGTAATGAAAATAATCATATATATCCTTTCAAGAGGGATGCATGTGTTGTCTTTATTTTATTTTATTTTGAAATACATACCTTTCACCCAACAAGTAAATTGCTGGCTTTCTCTTCACAAGTCATCAGTGGGAACGATCATAATTCCTAACACATGACTGTTTGCTAGAAGAGACAGGATTTAATAATAATCTGCAACTCTGATGAAACAGCTTGCAATGCAATCCAGTTTGCAATATAATTCTCTATTTATTTGCCCAGAAGATTTACTTGTTTAATGGGATTTGGTCTTATTACATACATCTAATCTTTGATGAAGGCTATATGTTCCCAGTACTGTATTTGGAGTAAAAACTGAAACGGAAATAATATAAGATACCGAAAGGTTTAGATCAGTGATGGCGAACCTTTTCGGCACTGAGTGCTATAAAGGGGGCACTTCATGCGCATGTCAGGGCCGCGACCAGGAAGAGGAGCTGCCCAGGGGCATACACGTGCCAGATAAGGTACTTCTGGTGTGTGCTGGCCAGCAAGTCTTCCGGTTATTGCCGTGCATGCGCACACACCGATCAGCTGGCCAGCGCATATGCTCACGTCGGAAAATGGAAGACTAGCTCTTCCAGTTTCCGGGACTGCCCTACACACAAAGGCCAGCTGATCATCACATGCGCATGTGTGCCAGAAACCCAGAAGAGGAACGGGGGATGCTGCGCATTTCAGGCAACATGGCTCCATGTGCCACTTCAGGCATGCGTACCATAGGTTCACCATCACAGGTTTAGGACAAAAAAGAGATTTGATGGAAGTCAATATTTTTATAAGGTGCTTTTGTAAAGAAAATGGAATATCTGATTTTCCATTTAAATAAGAACACTCAACTAAGTATAAAAAAAAGCACTAGAATTTAGCATTAAAATGTAATTTAAAATACATTCATAGGAAGATCAACAATTTAAAAAGAATATTCTGTAATTTGAGACAATGAAAATTAAGTAGTATCTCCTGAAGATTTATATTCTATAGTTTAGGAGAGAGACAGAAATCTCTAGGATGTGAATGAGAGAAAGCAGTCTGGTTTGGAAGTACTTGCTCATAACAAATGTATCTAATGGACAATAAGAAATAGGCTGAAATCACTTTAATGGACACATTCTGCTTCAACATACGAATTCTTACTTGCTTTGTGATATTTATTTTTAATTTGTTTCCACTTTTATGTTTGTGGATGTGCTTTACGAAGAAATTGTTTTGTTGAATTGGAAAAGAAATCCTTAGATATCTGCTCTGACAAACACCTATTGTCATTTAGCACTATATAATTACAGGCAGTTTTGACTTATAACCATTTGCTTAGCAACTGGATGGAAACTAATCAAGGAGAGAAGCAGCCTGAAATTAAGGAGAAACTTCCTAACTGTGAGGACAGCTTGTCTTTAGAAGTTGTGGGTACTCCATCACTGGAGGTGTTTAAGAAACAACTGGACAGTCGCTTGCCTGAAATGGTATAGGTAAGAGCTCCTGCTTGAGTAGAGGGATGGACTGGAAAAACTCCAAGGTCTCTTTCACCTCTATTCTGATAATTGTTCAAAGGCACAATGGCACAGGAAAAAGTGACTTAAAACTGGTCCTCCCACTTACAACCATTGCAGCATCCCCACAGTCACATGATCAGTATTCAGGAACTTGGCAACTGCCATATTTATAACGGTTGCAATGCCCCAGGATCATGTGATCACTATCTGCAAGCTTCCCAGCTGGCTTCCAATAAAGAAACTCAATGGGAAAAGCGGGGTTTGCATAACTATATGGTTCACTTAACAACTGTAGTGATTTGCCTATCATGGCAAAAAAGGTTTTAAAATTGGGTGTGACTCACATAACAACTGACTTGCTTAGCAATGGAAATTCTGATCCCAACTGTTGGTTGTAACTCACTGTATTGTGAGTTTACATCACTATAGTGTTGGAAGAAGAATCGTTCTGGTTCAGTTCTAAGCCGGGAGAGGCGCACTGGAAATAAAATGGAGGTTAGCTGCTTAGGAAAGAAGATCTGTTTATTGATGAGCAGAACCACTAACAGCATGTAGTTCTGAGGCAGCTGACAAATTAGCTTGATGATTTTATAGTTTCTGTAATGCTGCTGGGGGTTGTACAATGCAGTGAGCTCTGTGTCTTTTGGTATTCCAGTGGTGGTGGGTTAATCTTGTGTCCTAAAAAGTCATGTCCTGCCCTTAGAATTTGGGTGGGGGAATGTAAATCCTTAATCCCATCCCCTGGAGCTGAAGGTGTTTTGTTTGTGAATAGATTGGCCCATTCTTTCTTAATGGGCCCAAAATATCCACCTCTAAAGACTTCAGTCATCTGCTGGGGGATCTTTTACTATGCAGGAAACGGACTGCTTTCTGTCTTTAAGAGCATGTTTTTTCTCTGTTCCTCCTTTGGGGAAATATAATATTCTGCCTCTTGATATTCTCCAAAATATTTCATTCTCTGGGAGGGGGTGCATAATTACTTCTTGCAAAAGCAAAAAAGTTACATGTGCTTCAGAAAATGTTCACTATTCTCAGACAATCACAGGAGCTAGACCCACTTGACAGATGACCGATAGATGCGATAGATATTGGACTGCGCGTGTTGAACCAGACGGATGTTGGTGCAACTGTCAGAAAGTGAATGCACCTGGTTAAAGTTCTTTGGGGTTACAGTTGTTCAGAGCAGTTTATCAATGGAATCTCATCAGCTAGTTAAGAACAAAGTTCAGAAGCCTGGTGAGTCAAATTACTGATGTTTGTAAAGAGCTCTGTCTGGTTAAAATGAGCTTTATACTCAGGGCCACAGTTCATGACAAAAGTTGCCTCATGTACATGAAAAATATGGAGAACATACGACTATAAGAAGAGGTCACTGGAACTATTCCAATTTAAGTGTGCAATGCTAAATTAGTAAACTAATTGCTTTAAATCAGGTATGCAATACAATCCTTATCTCTGGTCCATCGATACATCAACTTTGCACAATCTGAAGATAATAATATAAGGCCAAGGATGCCTTTGGATAGTATCTATCATGTTCATCAGAGAGGTTCATATAGTAGAAAATAAGTATCCTACTGGGTTAATCCACCAATTGCAGAAAAAAAGTTTGGAAGGAGAAAACATCTCTGTTTAAGGAAACACTGGCAATTAATTACTTGTCATCTTTAAATGCCTTATTTTGATTGCCATTATCTTTGCCTTTAAAATTTTAGATGGTTAGAGATTCCTGTGATTACTGTTGGAAGAAATATCCTTCTGGGTTCTGCTCCAAGTGGGGAAAAAGACACTGGAAACATGGAGCCTGCTTGGAAAGATGGTTTAATGGTGGACAGGATCACATGGCTTGAATTCCTGAACAGAAAAGGGACGAGATACAGCGAGTTTTTATGCTCTCTCTGGCTTTGAAGTTCCTGGGGCCCCAAAAGAGTATCCTGATTGGTTGTCAGACTCCCAGGGGGTGGGGGTCTTAGCTAGCCTTGCTGGCTGATGTAATCTTCCCAGGTGCCATGTGGTGAGTTTCTGTTGCTAGATGGGTCCTATTGTGTTGCAGATGATGGTCCATTGACAAAGGGTGGGGGGTGGCAGGAAGGTGGGAGCTGCTTTGTCTTTAAAACATGCTTCTCCATTTCTCATACAGGGAAACATAATATTCTGCCTTTTTAATATTTCCTAAAATATTTCATTCTTCTAAGAAAGGGGTGGGTGCTAACTTCCTACAATACTCTTAGTGGATCTACACCAAATGAAAAAGCAGTCAGTGATTCAAAGATTCTGATAATAAAAATGTGGAAGTTTCCAATAAAGTTCTTAAATATACCAGATTTCCTACAAGAAAGACAATTTAACCTATTTGGTTTTCTTAGAAATATAAGAAAAAGCCTTGATGATACGCTACAGATTTACAGAGAGGGAGCTGAATAATAAATAACAGCTGGAGGGTTTTAATTCCAATATCTTTTCAGAGCTTCTGTGGTCACCTGTAGGAAGTTAGCACTCACCCCTTTCCTGGAAGAATGAAATATTTTAGGAAATATTAAAAAGGCAGAATATTATATTTCCCTGGATGAGAAATGGAGAAACATGTTTTAAAGACAAAGCAGTTTCCTGCCTCCCCCACATACACCTTTGTTAATAGGCCATAATCTGCCACACAATAGCAACAGAAACTAACACAATGGGACCCATCTAGGACAGAAACTCACCACATGGCACCTGGGAAGATTACATCAGCCAGCAAGGCTAGCTAAGACCCCCACCCCCTAGGAGTCTGACAACCAATCAGGATACTCTTTCTGGGCCCCAAGAAGTTAAAAGCCAGAGAAAGCATAAAACTGGGGACTCGCTGTATCTCCTGCCCTTTTCTGTTCAGGAACTCAAGCCATGTGATCCTGCCCACCATTAAACCATCTTTCCAAGCAGTCTCCATGTACCAGTGTCTTTTTCCCCACTTGGAGCAGAACCCAGAAGGATATTTCTTCTTACACACCAATAAAGCTAACTTCCCCTTGGACATGCTTTGGCAGCGGAATTTCCCTCATAAAGTTGCATGGAATGGTAAAGATGGGTGAAGTAGATAATTTTTCAGAATTCTTAATAGGAAACCTGAAATAAAACAAAAGGAATCCATAAATGAATATAAAATGGACGCATGCTAAGCTTATCTAATCTTTGCATAGTACTATCAATAAAATGAGATCAGCTGAAGAGAAAGTCAATACAATTGACCTGTCTTTTCTTGGCAACATCAGAAAAAAATCAGCATCAAGTGAACATTGTAAGCCTATTATTTGATACTGGATTGTTGAGTCAGTCACTACAGTTTACCCTTATAGACCTTTTTGTTATTTTATTAGGTGGGTAAGTCCAAAAGTTTCCTTAGAACCACTGCTAAATGAGAAAGAATATACTAGATCTGAATTTTAACCCCTTTTCTTGTTAATTTTACTACTGACTAACAATTAGCTGTGTCAGTATCTAGATGACATATTTCTAACCCTTGACCTATTTTGCTTTTTTTAAATAAAGGTAATCGGTGTTAATGACTAGGATCTAGTCAGTATATCCTACTAACAATATTGTCTTTTTTAACTGACTGAAATTGTATCTACAGGAATTGCAAACATTGCACATACCATTTAAAGCTCATTTGCAAACTATTCCTTCTAAATCACTCAAAGGTTTGCTTGTACAAGGACATTCAACAACTAGGAGGGGATAACCCCCCAGGAATGTAGTTAGTTCATAGACTTTTCCATGAAAAGAAATATAGAGATAATGTTTGCCTTTTCTCAATTATGTATGCATGTCAAGTTCATTAAATTTCAGAATTTTTGAAAGGTTTACGTATTTCTCCATTGTTTGCAATTTTGCCTGTTACACAATTTTGGAAACTATAGTTAGTCCTTGACTGACAACCACAATTGAGCCCAAAATTTCTATTGTTAAGTGAGACATTTGTTAAGTGGGTTTTGCCCCATTTCTTGCCACAGTCGTTAAGTGAATCACTGCAGTTGATAAGTTAATAACTTGGTTGTTAAGTGAATCTGGCTTCCCCATTGACTTTGCTTGTCAGAATGTTGCAAAAGGGGATCACATGATATTGGGACACAGCAACCATCATAAATATGAATCAGTTGCCAAGCATTTGAATTTTGATCACATGACAGTGGGGATGCTGAAAAGGTTGTAACTGAAAAAACATGTCACTCTTTTCAGTGCCATTGTAACTTTGAACGGTCACTAAATGAACTTATAAATTGAGGACTACCTGTATTTGTTTCTAATTTATAAATTATTTTTCCTTTTATATATAATTTTCATTAATACCATACATACAGAAGATGACTAAAGAATCTTAGTTATTACACACAGAGAGATGTAATGGGAAAAAATTAATAAAAGATTACACAATATATAATAAATCACAAGAATGTTACCTTTTCACTATTTTTTCACTAGTATTGTCACTGATGCTGCTGTTCGCTGCCACTGGGAAATGCTGGAGCCTTCACTGCCTAGCAGCTGATTGGTGGTTAGATCGGCCTGGAATACCGCCAATCTGCTGTTCTAGGTGGTGGGGATTGCTGCCGCTGTTCACTGCCAATCACCAGCGGCGAACGTCGGCAGCGCCTAGAACAGCTGATTGACGGTATTCCGGGAGGCCAATCCAACCGCCAATCAGCTGCAAAGACTCCAGCTTTGCCTGCCGGCGGCAGCAGCTCAATTCAGTTGACCAGTGATGGGCACAACAGAGCAGAGCCCTAATGAGCCATATGCTGGGGCTGCGATAACGTGAAGCTGACCAGGCTGTTTGCTGCAAGGACGCTAGCCAGATGAATACCGGATGAATGCTGAGAGGCAGAGGCAGATTTTTTTTTCTTGTTTTCCTCTAAAGCTAATGTGTGTCTTATGGTCTGGTGCGTCTTAAAGTGCGAAAAATACAGTATATAATCCCTACCAAAAACTGAGCACAATATTGCAACTTCAAATAATCTAATAAAGATTCTTAGTTCACTACTATCTCCTATCACTGGAGTTGTTCCTATTTGAAATAAGATCAGCATTCATGTCTCTAATGGTAATCTACTACTGGTGACAGTTGCCTTTACAATATATCTAGGAAAACATTTGTCTTTTCCTTAAGTAGCATCTAATCTATTCCAAATAATTCTTGGCTAACCTTTAAGTCTTATTAAGCCAGAGAGAACTGTTCATCTGGCATGATGCTATATTTCAAGATTATATTGCAGTGAGAAAAGTAAACCTAACAAAATGGACACTGCATCTCTAAACCATCTCCCCTTTTTGATATGACCAGAATCAAACCCAGCCCCTCGCTTTGCCTAATCCCATCAGACCCAAGACAAGTCTCCCTGCCCCAGACAAGACTCTGCCCCTGCAATCCCATCTGAATCAAAGAATAGAAGCCTCCTCAGAGCATAGCCCAAAGGCAGCTCTATGAAAGGGGGTTGCAAAATAATAAGTGGTGAAATCCCAACTTTCCATCCTGTATTAGCAGATGACCTTTCTATCTCTTCTAGTGTGATCATCAGAGGCTTTTTAAAAAAAACTTTGAAAAGCATTTTTTCAACCGAAGAGGTTGTAGAAAAAAATGCTTTTAAAATTTTTTTAAAAAAGCCTCTGATGATCATGCAGCTCAGCTGGGCACGGGGGGGGGCAGGGATTTTTGCTACCGGTTAACTGAACCACCCCCTGCCATCGCTACCAGATCAGGCGATCCGGTCTGAACCGGGAACATTTCACCCCTGGGAAGGTTGCTTTTAATATAATACGCATCAAGAGTATGAGGTCAGTTATTTTCTATATATAGTTTTCTAAAACTGCATATAGAAATTAAAGTGAACTAAACTAACTTAAAACTATGGAGACTGAAATAACTTTGGTCATAGTTCTTTCTATTAGTCTTTAGTGTTTTAAGCAGACTTTTGAAAGTTAATCAGTGTTTACAAGTAGTTTTTGACTTACCATAGTTCGTTTAGTGACCATTCAAAGATACAACAGCACTGAAAAAAGTGACTTATGACCATTTTTCAGGTACAACCATGATTATGTGATCTAAATTCGGATGCTTGGCAACTTGTTCATATTTATGACGGCTGCAGTGTCCCTAGGACACGTGAAACCCTTTTCTGACCTTTTGACAAGCAAAGTCAATGGGGAAACCAGATCCACTTAATAACTGGGTTACTAACTTATCAACTGCGGTGATTCACTTAACTGTGCAAAAAAGGTCGTAAAATGGAACAAAACTCACTTAAACGTCTTAATAACAGAAATTTTGGACTCAATTGTGGTCGTAAATTGAGGACTACCTGTATTAAGTTCTCACTAGTGGCAGGATTTTTTCAATTTATTTTATACTCAATTTGATTCCAAGTACAAGAGAATTTAGTGATGCGGTGGCTCAGTGGCTAAGACGCTGAGCTTGTCGATCAAAAGTCGGCAGTTCAGCGGTTTGAATCCCCGGTGCCGTGTAACAGGGTGAGCTCCTGTTACTTGTCCCAGCTTCTGCCAACCTAGCAGTTCAAAAGCAAGTAGAAAAATAGGGACCACCTTTCTGTTCCGTGTGCCTTTGGCATTTAGTCATGCCGTCCACATGACCATGAAGATCACGGAGTCGTCCTCAGAAGCACTTCCTCTTCGGCTTTGAAACGGAGATGAACACCGCCCCCTAGAGTTGGGAACGAGGGGAACCTTAACCTTTACCTTATAAGAGAATTATGGCATGTATCATATTTAACATAGCATAGTCTGATGTAAGCATTACACTCTTTCCATATATTCATAAAATAACTTGTCAACATTAATTGTATGCATTTTCCTAATGTTGCTTAAACTAAAGGGAAATTACACACTGTGTATGTAGGTTTGTGTTTAGATTTTGTTATGCACTGCCCTCTTCTGGTAAGAAACATAATACATCCACATATTTGAGGTACAGTGATAGTTTCTTATGTATAGGATCCTCTGTCATTAATTCCCCACTTGTTAGGAGAAATTACTAGGGGGCAAATATAGAAAATTCAGCAAGGCCTCCATTTTTCTATATACAGATTTTAGGAACTCAATTCTAACATCCATAGCTTGCAGAGGTGGAAAGCACTTAAGCAGCCTCTATATTCACTAAACTGAATATTATTCAAAACTTTGCTAATCCCTAACCAAGAATAATTAAGTATTGATCATTTTTAATCAAGCTATAGGGTCGTCCTATGAGGATCCTGTTCTGAGTGACAGGCTGGTATTCTTTTCTGAGTTATCAAAAATGCAATGGTAGTGGTGGGTTGCTCCCGGTTTGGCTGAGCCGGTAGCGGTGACGATGTGATGTCACTGAACCGGTTCTCTGTGACTGGGAGCTGGGCCCTCCCGCCCGCCCCCGCTTTATTCCTACCTTTATTTCTTGGTTTTTAGCCCAGATGATAGGCGCAGCAGAGCGGATTGCTGCACCTCAGCTAGCCAGAAACGTAACGTGCTTTCGCGATCGCGCGCATAGCACATGCGCGAAGAGAACCGGTAGTAACACCGGTTGGAACCCACCACTGAATGGTAGCTATATTAGCCATAAAAACTTGAGAGTTAAAAAGCCACAGAAACAATTTACTAATCATTTTAATGGTAAGATTTTGAATTGATTAAAATTCTTAAACATGCTAAATAGCAACAGCAACATGTGAAATAATAACAGGAATTTTTAAAAGATTAAGAAAATTATGTCTGCCTAGGAGCAATTTGAATTTTCTGTTATAATGTGGGATACAAAAGAGGCGTTGAGTTTCAGCAAGGGCACTCTCTAAAGTGGCTAGAAAGATACATTCCTTTTACAGAGGAAATACTGAGAATGGTCTCTTCTCTTTTGAATATCTTAATACACAAGCCAAAATGTTGTAGTGGATAACATCTTACAATTGGGAGACCAATTCAAGTTCTCCGTCAGCCATGGAACAGATCATGGAATGATTTCAGGTTAGTCACTATCTCTCAATCAAGCTATCCCCTATGAAAAAAATGGGAAGTAGTTTTGTATACAGTTCTGAAGTCCTTGAGGAAAGACAGGGTATAACTCTAATATATGTTTAGATATGCATATATATTCAAAAATAAAATCGGGCTTACTGGAACTTACAGTGAAGAGGGTTTTGGAATACAGCCTGGTTAGAAATGAATTTAAAACAGGATTTGAGAGCAGAGGAGGAAATAATAACACTTCTTCCAATGTTTTCTCTCAAAAGATGAACATCAGAATAATGATTATAATGTATATTAAAATAGTCTATAATTGTTATAGTGTAGAGACACAAAACTCAAGACTCCAGGGTCATGTTGGTTCCTTGCAAGTTCTGTACTCCTCCAAAAGCTGATGTTGGATGATACCTAATCATTTAAGTAATTCATCAAGTAAGTTGTGTTCATCAATTTTGCTTTCAATTAAATGAAGTGTATTTCAATTCAATTAAATGAAATGTATTATAAGCAACCTAGAACTAAGGAGAAATTTCCTGTAAGAATAATTAATGAGTGGGAACAACTTGACTCCAGAAGTTGTAAATGATCTAACACTGGAAGTTTTAAAAGAGATTGGATAACCATTTGTCTGAAATAGTATAGGGTTTCCTGCCTAAGCAGGGGGCTGGACTAGAAGACCTCCAAGGTCCCTTCCAACTCTTGTTATTCTATTCTAGTCTATTTTGACAGGGCTTGGATTCTTGTTGGAAGTAGAGTCTTAGTTTTCATTCAATACCAAGCACAGTCTTTAGGCTAAGCAGGTTCCTGATTTATATATCCTTTCTTGGAGATAACAATACAGTGTATTGTTGTATTTTGTATATGTATATTCAGATAAGATTAGTTTCTTAAGTACTCAGCTCTTTTAAAACATGTATATATTTTTCTCCAGGCATTCTAAGATTTATCTCTTTTTTTACTTTAACCCTTCCTTCTGACCATTTCATCTACTTTTGCCTGGTTGTTTCTCTTTGGACAAAAGCACTAAAGGCAGGAAATGGCTACATAAAGAAGTGATTTGAAACAGGGAAAAGATGAATGAGTTTCTGCTTATTTTCTCTATACTCTAAAATATAAAAACCAATTTTAAGATAACTGCTGGAGAATTTATCATATACATAAGAAAATTTGAGCTGTGTCAGATCAAAGCACTGCTAATTTTTTCCACTGGCTAAGCAGATGATTATGAGGAACCTATAAGTAGGAAATGAGCAAAACGGCATTATTTCAGATATATTCCCCAGATGCTGGAACTGAAAGACATAATTCTGCTGATAATTAGAGAAATATATAGAGAAAATATAAGGACTAATATATATTGATAGCTATGCCGGGGCCTGGCCTATACATCCTAGGCAATAGTTAATATTCTATCCCCCATGGTTTGGCTCATCTTCCAGTTTGGTTAGGAATTTCAAAAAGAGCCCTCTTGTTTCCGCTTTGAGTTTCTGAACTTTTTTCTTTTGATTTTCAACTTTTTTTTTTCTTGGACATTTTCACTCTATTTACACAAATAGTTTTAAGTATATTAGCACCCATTGTTGTCATATAGCAACAATTCAACAAATTTAACACTTGAGTGAGTGTTCTGACTTGTAAAGTCCACTGTTACTGCTTTTTTTCCTTGGTTTTTTCCAAAGTCTTTTCAATTTTAGCGCCCCTAAAATTTGCCGTTTACAGGCTGATGTTTACTAGACCTTGGCCTATAGATGGCCCTGGCTTTTGCCCATTATATAGCTATATAAATTGGAATCTGTTAGTGCAGCTGGTGATAGCAAATACTTTTGAACTTTTGGATGTTTTCATTTCCCTCTTTCAGAACTTGTTCTCTAAATTCTCTTCCATAACTTTCAGTGTTTGGATACAGGTAATGTAGATAGCATTCCATGGGTAGTTATTTTGCATGTTTGCATAAAGGTATTATAATCTTGGCAGATTCCGCCCCCCACCACCACCGATGTTTTCAATTTTGCCTCTGCCACAATTGCTATATACTGAATTGCTAGGTTACTTGACTATCCACTAGCAATCTGAATTACAATCTGGTCAGCTATGATTAGTACAACAAATATCAACATACTGCCATATATCTTATATCTCAGCATTAGCAATTTGCACAGGTTATTCACATTTCCCACATAAATAAAATCAACATATTGCAAGAGCTAGCTGTGGTTTAATTAGAATTTCTCTTACTGTTTTATCTTCATCTCTAAACTGTATTTATTCATTTATTTGCTAAGCTTTTTATTTTTCATCACTTTTTCAACTTTTTTTTAGGGAAACATGGGAGATAAAGAAATGAATTCAATATTTCTCAGGTGAGTTATACTTTGCTGTAGGATATAAGATAGTCCTCGATTTATGATCACTGTTAGGATCAGAACTTCCGTTGCTAAGCTAAACAGTCACTAAGTGAGTCATCTCTGTTTTTCTGATCTCTTTTGCTGTGGTCATTAAGTGAATTTGGCTTCCCTCATTGACTTAGCTTGTTGGAAGCTCATGGGAATGTCACAAATGGTGAACATGTACCTCTGGTTGTTGTAAATACATGTTTGTATTTGTAAATACAAGTTGCTTGCCAAATTCCCCAATGTTGGTAACCTGAGGACAGGGATGCTGCAATGGTCACAAGTGGGAAGACTGATCATAAGTCATTTTTTCTCAGTGTTGTTATAAACTTTGAACAGTCATTAAATGAATGGTTGTAAAAATAGAAAGATTACAGAATCTTTACCAGATTGTTTAAATGTTACTTTCACAGAAGATCTTGAAAGGGGGAGATATACATGTCCACAGACACAATTTAAGCAAATATAAAGACACTTTTCCTATGTGAACTAAAAGTAAAGGTTAAACCCTCCTCACTTTTTTTTTTTTTTGTATATGAACAAAAGCACATTTGGCTTTTAGTCATTGGACTTTGAACCTGGGCGTGTCATATTCAAACATCAAAACAGAAGAAAGCTATTACATCTGTACACATTTACTGACTTTAATCTCTAACATGCCTTTTACTGTGGGCTACTTTTAAAAAGCTGTTACATTGAGCCACATTTATCTGGCTTTAATCTTACAATATTTATTTACTATCGGCTACTTCAATACATCCCATCTGGTGTAAGCAGAAATGTCAATAACTGATGGAGGCCAGGCAGAAGGTAGACCTACAATGCAATGCAAAGATTGCTTTTGTCATGAGGACCCAGGAGGTTGTGAAACTACTGCTATCACTGAGGGCCCCTAGGAGGACAGACTGTATTTAGTAGAAAGTAACATGATGCATCATACCAAGAATGTCGTAGTGTTTCCTGGTTGTAGTTCTGAGATAAGAGAATGGAGTTACACAACACATTGCTTATTAGCAGGAAGTAATCCTGGCATATAAACCAAATAAAGCAGACATACATAGAATGACACTGTTAGTCCTATAATTGCCTATTGATTGTGTGAGAGAAAAATCCAATTTTGACATAAGGATGCTGAATATTTACCAATAAGTTTTTTTGTCTCCTGACAACCACATCTACATACATAGATTTTCTCCATGATATATTAAGACTAGCCATAGTTAATTGATTATAATTGGCCAGTTCATACAAACACTAAGAACACATTAAAGAATGCTGTTTTCATTAAACTTTAATTTTAATAAAAATTTGTCTCCAA